ACTTCCCAGTCTCTGATTTTGATGAAGGCCTTGGCCTTTATCCACTTGGCAAAGTAGTCAGTAACCGCGAGCATGTAGACTCGCTACCCCGGTGCGGTTGGGATCTTTTGAGTAGGCAGCCATCATGGATGGTGAATCGAGTTGCTTTGGCCTTCACCCGACGTGCCTCGTTCTTGTCTATTGGGAACTCGTCATTCTCCAAGTAGTGAAGGATGGGTGTTATCCAAGACTCTTCTTATCCAATTGGCAAGACCTCGGTCGAGCCGACCGCGATGGCTAGTGCTTGGAGATGAACCAAAGGTATCCTTGCTGGTAATGGAGTTTGAAAAGCAGATCCAAGGTTTGCTAGAGAATCTACATGTGTGTTCTCGGTACTTGGGACTTGAGTGATGATGATCTCTTCGAATGCTGCCTGGAGCCCTTTGGCCAAATTGAGGGAGGAGGTCATCTTGGCATTTTGAGCTTGGTAGGTCCTTTGGAGTATTCACCACCAGTTGTGAGTCAGATTTAACTTCTAATTTTTTATCCCTATTTCTTTAGCGAGATAGAGATCAAAGATCAGTGCCTTATATTCGGCTTCGTTACTGATTGCCTTGAAGTCGCACCGAATAGACTATTGTATGATGTTCCCCTCAAGAGTAGTTAAGACAAGTCCTAGACCGTTGTCGTTACTATTGCTTGATCCATCTATTGAGAGGATCCATTAAGATGAACCTTTGTCGGTTAGGTATAGGAGCTCCCTCTCTACCTGAATAGCTCCTATGCCTGAATAGAAGTACTAGGTGCTAAATCGACGATGAAGTCAGCTAGCACTTGTGACTTAATAGCAGTGCGGGGTTAGAAGGAGATATCAAACTCACTCAGCTCTACTATCCACTGGATGAGCCAACTCGAGATATCTGGCTTATGGAGGACCTTTTTGAGGGGGTAAAAAGTCAAGACCACGATAGGGTGGCACTGGAAGTACGGTCCCAATTTTCTCGCAATGGTGATAAGAGTGAGTGTGAGCTTCTCGAGTTGGCTATAGCGCGTCTCAATGTCAAGCAAAGACTTGCTGGCGTAGTAGACTAGTAACTGTTTCCTTTTCTCTTCTTGAATTCATACAGAGAAGATGGCGCACTCAAGCACGACTAAGTATGTGAAGAGTTGTTCCCATATTTTAGGTTTAGAGAGCAAAAGAGGTGATGTTAAGTACCTTTTTAGGTGAGCCAGTGCTTTTTCACATGCTAGGGTCGATTCGAACTTATTCAACTTCTTGAGGGAAGTGAAGAAGAAGTGACACTTCTCCGTTGACTTAGAAATGAATCAGCTCAACGCGACTATTCTTCCAGTGAGGTGTTGAACATCTTTGATGCATGTAAAAGATGTGATGCTTAAGACTGCCCTGATCTGATCGGGGTTGGCTTTAATCCCCCGTTGTGTTATTATGTAGTCGAGAAACTTTTTGGATGAGACGTCGAATGAACATTTGGCTAGGTTCAGCTTCATGTTGTATTTCTGTATCACCTTAAAAGCTTTGTCTAAGATGGTCGAAGTGTTGCTCGGCGATCCATGACTTTACCAACATATCATCGATGTACATTTCTATGAAGTCCCCTAACAAGTTGGCTAACATCTTGTTCACAAGGCGCTAATAAATGGCATCGACATTCTTTAGGCCAAACGGCATTACCTTGTAATAGTAGATGCCTCTTTCAGTAATGAAGCAGTCTTCTCTTAGCCATTCGGGTGCATCAATGTTTGATTATAGCTCGAGAAAGCGTCAATGAAGCTTAGTAACTCATGCCTGGAGGTCGCATCTTGTAACGACTCCTTCCTACTCATATACTCATAAAAATACATATAATAAAATACATGTATAATAACATAATTAGATGGGCCCAAATTTTTCTTTCATTAAATATACATATACTTTACACAAAATAAAGTATCATATACAAAAAGTCATCAAAAACATGGTGGACAGTGTAACTATTTCTCTTTGCTTGCCGACGCCCATCCGACCGCGTCCTCACCTAGATCCTGCAAAACACATAGAAACAACGGGGTGAGCACAAAAAGGCTCAGTAAGTAAATCCTCTTCATCTATCCCTGTAACTCTTTCTCTTAATTCTTTCCTTACACTTTTCTCTTTTTGTTTCTCTTTCACATAGCTCGTTCTATTAACTTCTGTTATATGTCACGACCTCATCTTATTGAAGGCACGGTCGGGTGGAGTTCACAAAGCACCATCCCACTCTTCGTGACTCTACTCATTCTCTCTTCGTTCTTTCTCATGTTTGCTCATTTTTTCTCACTTGAATGTCACGGCCTCATCTTATCGGAGGCACGGCTGAGAACTCTAGCCCACTCTACATGACTTCTATTCACTCATATGTCACGGCCCCGTCTTAATGGAGGCACGACCAAGAACTCAATCCCGCTCTGTGTGACCCATACTATTCAAGTGTCACGGCCCCATCTTACCGAAGGCATGGTCGGAAGATCACAAAGCTTCCACTACTCGTGACCTTAACTCATTCTCTGTCGACCGGACTCAGTTATGCATGGATTCGGAACCTTTGGCCACGTGAGCGTATTCTCTCTCTCTCTCTCTCTCTCTCTCAAGTGTCACAACCTCATTTTACCGGAGGCACGGCTGGAAGATCACAAAGCTCCCACTATTCGTGACGATTCTACTCATCACTCACAGGTTATCCATCGCACGATCTACTCTATTCTCTTGTTTAGCATTACTCTTGCTTTTATTCTCTAGTGCTTATTCTCTCTTTTACTCTACTCTTGGAGTTTTCTCATTCTCATTACTCTTAGAGTAACTTATACTCAAAATTCTCTACTCTTTCTCAAGCTACTTCTCAACGCACAATTAATGCTTATGGATGGTTCATGCTCATTAATGTACTAATGAAATGCCAATATGCAATGTTGTAAGAATTAAGGTTTACTATTCATGCTCATACTTCCTTTAGGCATTTCATCAAACAACTCATGTGCATATAAAAACTCTACTTTAACAATAACTATACTTCTTTCTCTAACCATCCAAAATGGGAGGAAACTCCCTCACATAGCTATAATTCCTGTCAAGGATAAACACTTCTAAAAAAGATTTCTCAATCTCCTTCAATTTCATCTCACTCATCACACATCATGCAATCTCAACACTTCTCATAAATGAAGTGTATTCAACAACCACAAAGCAAATACCCATCTCAACTCAATTTCTCAACAAGCTTAATACATACAAGCATAAAGAAATCTCTACTCAAATGATTTCTTAAATTTTAGCTTGAATTGGATTTACTTACTTGTGATGGAGTGATTCCACTAACACTTCTCTTTACCTTTAGTAACTTGTCTTTTCTCTAAAATCTCAATCAACCAACTATAAGACTTCAACTCATTAATAGGTAAAATTCACATCTAAAGCAAGTATCCTTACCTTAGGATGCTTTAGATTAACTTTCTACCAAATTTACTCAAAAAGCCCTCTAGAATCCTTGAAAGATTGAAGGAAAACTTGAGAGGAAATAGAGAATGGAAGAGGCGGTGGAAGATGAAGAATAAAGGGGTGACAAAGCTTAATCCCTTTTTAGCTCAAACTATCTTCATTCATTCCTATAATGCCCTTGCTCTTTCTTGAAATTTCATCCTTGTCCTTTGATTCCTTACACTCACACCCCCACACTAACATATTCTCCATGAAATTTCTTTACATTTCACTCCCCACTTTTCTTGCTAATTAGGGGTAGAATAGTCAATTTGCCCTTAGGAAAAAATATCTAGTAAATTCAATACAAAAGTCAGCCGGCTTTTCGCTGCGGTGAAGAAATCCAGGGCAAACGTCGCCACGACGAGGAAATCCAGGGCAAACGTCGCCGCGACGAAGACTCTTCTTTGCCCCGACGAAAATTGGAATTCTAAAATTCTCCAAGTTTTAACCAATTTCAGGGCAAACACTCAACCTAAACCAACACACCAATTCAACCAAGGGGCAACAAAACAATATTAACAACATACAAACTCAATTAAGGGCAAGCCAAGAACATTCAAGCAAAACAACAAATCTTAACTACGTACCTCAAGTAGGGCGTTACATATCTACTAACATGTCTATGTGGGGGAGAGGGAAAAAGTCCTTAGGGCAAGCTTTGTTCAGGTTGGTGAAATCGATGCAGACTCTCCACTTGTCGTTCTTCTTTCTAACAACCACTATGTTCGGTAATCAGTCTGGATAATGAACTCCTGTACCAAGCTGTTGCTCAACAGCTTCTCTACCTCTTCATTAATCACCTTGTTCCTCTTAGGAGCAAATTTTTTTCTCTTCTATTTCACAGGTGGATGCTCCATGTCAGCGTTTAATCGGTAACGATAGCCTCGAGACTGATTCCCATCATATCTGTATGGGACCAAGCGAAGCAATCCTGGTTTTGCTTGAGAAAGTCCATCAGCTTCTCCCAGATGTTAGGTTGGAATTGTGCTCCTATTTGAGTCTTGCAATTTGGGCGATTGGGGTGTATTTGTACTTCATCCAGCTCCTCCATAGCTAGTTGGTCCTATTCGGCTCCCCCAACTGTGTGAGACTGTAATTGCTACATGGTGCCCTACTTAGTCTTGAAGGTGTTCCGATAGCAATCTCTGGAAGCCTTTTGATCTCCTTTTATCTCTTTTATGCCTCACTTGGTAGGGAATCAAATGGTCTGGTAGAAGGTGGATGGGATAGACAACATGTTGTGGATCCATGGTTAGCCCAATATCACATTGTACGGAGATAAGGTGTCCACTATCATAAATGTGGTCTAGAGATTGTTCCCCTCGGTTAGTCTGGCAAAGCTTTCTCACCCATAGTGTATTTCTATTTTGAACTGAAGCTAATGAGGAGTGTGAAGCGGCAATTGATGTTGGATTCATCCAAGTCCATAACTTTGAAGGGGTCGAGGAATAGAATGTTTGCTAAAGAGCCGAGATCTGAGGATTCTCTTCACGAGGATATTGGCTATCTATAGGGTGATGATGAGTGCATCATGGTGGGGGTTGAGGAGAGATGCCGCTTCATTGTCAACGAATTTGATTGTCAGATTTGTTGGTTCTTGAATGAATGGTTGGTGAGAATGATACATTGGATGGGCTGCGGCTCTTGCATGGTGCTTGGCTGAGGAATAACCCACTTCACTTACCTCTAATCCTCTCGAGATCACACTATACATCCTGTCAGTAGATGGTGCTTTTAGTGGGGGTGTAACTTGGCGGTTCTTATTTGCGAAGGTGACTTTCCCTTTATTTGTTAGGAAGTCTTGTAAGTGACCTCTCTTTAGTAACTCCACAACCTCGAGGCAAAGAGTGATACAATCGGTAGTGACATGGCCATGGTCCCCATGGAATTCGCACCACTTAGTAGTATCTCGCCTAGCCCCAAAGTATGGCAACTTAGCTAGCCATTTGACGACCTTTCCCATCTCTTTCATCAATGCCACTACTTTTGTGGGCTCGATGTTCAGGTTGTAGTCAGACATCTTGTATCTATAGGGTTGGATAGGTGCTCTATCAATGTGTCCAGCTGAGTGACGCTCTTGTTGGCATTTATTATCGCGGATCGGACCTCTCCTCACTCGGTATGACTCGATTAGTCTAGAGTCATGGCATCTATTAGATTGACGAGGGTGGTGGTCATCGACGTTGCTAAGCTTGATTCGGTGGACCTCATTTTCTTCCCACCTTATTTTTATCAAGACGCGGGCCAGCTTATCTTCCATAGTTGTGTAGTTGAATTTGGTGAGTTCTTTGTATAGCTCGCTATTAGGGAGGAGTCCCTTCTTGAAGGCATTCACCGTGGTCTCTTGGTTGCAGTAGGGGATAGAGACTTTCTCATGGTTGAAGCATTCCACATATTCTCGAAGCGGCTCATTCTGGTGTTGGCGGATCCGGTAAAGGTTGCTCGACAACTTCTCTAACTTTTTGCTACTGGTGAATTGCTCCATGAAAGTGTCCATGAGCTAGGCAAAAGATGCGATGGAGTTGTTAGAAAGGTTATTGTACCGTTGGAGTGTTGGTCTCACAAGGTTAGGGCCAAAGCTCTTACACATGCATGCTTATTAGAGGTCTCCAGGTATGGCAGTGGTGAACATTCATTGCTTATAGGATGCTATGTGGTCATCCGGGTCTGTGGTCACATCATAGAGCTTTATGTTGGGGAAGGTGAATTTACATGGCATCTCCATGATTGTTATGATGTCTACGAAGGGTGAATCAACATAACTTTGGGGTTGGCTCTTCTTAAGGGGTGTGGGTATGTAGAGAATGTGTTGGATGATGGCTTCTAACTCGGCGAGCCGCTTGTTTAATGTTTGCTCAAGGGAGGTTGGTATTGGGTTGTATAAGTTGTTAAGGAATTGAGGGAAGACATTGGAGTTGACGTGTATGGCTGAGTCGAGCGGGATAGTTTGGGCTGGGGCGCCAACTAGTAAAGGCATGGGATATATTAGTGGAAGAGCAAAGGGAGTCTTTAGTTGTTGGAACAAGGTAGTTTGTGTATGTGTTTCGGCAGCTAAGAGGTTAATGGGTTGGGTGCTATCAGTGTGGCTCAACTCGGTTTGGGGGATGTTAGTGGTTGGAGCCATGGTGTGGAAGGGGGGTTCCAAGAGGGTGCCATGATCTGGGGTGGCGAATAGTTGTCGGGGGTGGATAGGTAGCTGAGATAAGGATGCATGATGCTGATTCAAAGACCAATCCAAAGAGTAAGTACCTTTTCTTGAATAGCTTAATTCTCCACACAGATGGCAGCGTTCTGAGTTTCAGGGCTTGGTACTTGTCATTGCTTTCTTGAACCAGTGTGGTGAGAGTCGCAATCTAAGTTAGCATGTCAGCGCAAGGGTTTTAGTGTTATCAGACATGATGGCTGAACGAAGAGAAAGGAACAAAAAGAGCAGGTTGCTTTGACTCAAATGATTGTTAGGACCCCACAGTGGGCACCAAACTGTAGATGGTAAAACTTACGATCAAGTTAAGAAGGACTGTTCCTACATGAAGTAAGCCACTAACAATCAGTTGTACTTGCAGAAAGAGTAAAAAGGGAATGTGAAGGCTAGATAGGCATTGGTGTGTGCCTACTGTAGACACTCCGATGCTCAAGTTAGCGAGGCTGAAGGTATTTTAGTGAGGGCTAAAGGCGGGAAGGAATTCGCAATAATACGGTGGTTCTTGGGAGCAAGAATTTTGAGAGCTTAGGTGTTGTGGGTGATTTCTGAATGAATATTGAGGGGATTTGTCCCTACTTATATAGTGAACCCAAGAGGTTCGACTTCTAGTAGGACTTTGAATCCTACTAGGTAAAGTAGTTGCAGTTTAGGAAAAAGATTGGATCTTCTTTCTTTATCAGGTTAAGCTTAACATTTATGAATGCGATCTAAGATCTTGACAGAAGTGGAAACAAAATAAGATTTTGTTTCCTAGTTATGGACTGTTGTGGGCTAGTGGGCTTAGCCCAGCTTAGCTTATAGGATAGCCCAACTCATAAAAGGGGCAGTTTGCAAGGAGTGTGGGCTCAACTGGAATTGGGCTAAGGCGTTGGGCTGTAATCTGTCTATCTTATCTGTTGGGCCTCTCAGGCCCAACACGATTTTTGGCCCATACACAAACTATTAAAGGTAAACATCTAAAGTTCAAATCTTCATATTCAACTTGATAAAAAAAGAAAAAAAGAAATAAATAATAAGAAAATGGATTGAGCTTATAAAACTTAAAATCATAAAATTAAGATCAACATGAAAACAAAATACTCATTCGTCAGCCTAAGTATACATAATTGAATACTTTTAAAACCAATGTTCTGAAACTCGGACCGGTTCGGACGGTCCAACTAGTCCAATTGGGTTTGGTCAATGATTCTGGTTCATTAAGAGTTAAAAACCGGTATTTTTATTTAAACTGTTTCTGGCCGTTATTAGACCGCCACAATAGTGTCAGACCGCTGGTCCAACCGGATCCGATGAAAATCCGGTCCAACAGATGTGATTGTTTTAAAAGGCAAAATCCCTGCCTTTTTTGCTTCAGCGTTCGTTTCTTTAATCTTTCATTTGTTTTTTCATCTTTCTCCGGCTTCCAATCCAACTTCATTCATCTTCTCTTCCACCTTTATTCATCTTCAGTTAGATTCGGGCTTAGAAAGTGAAAGAAAAGAAAGATAAAGGAGAAGATTTGAAGAAGCAAAAGAAGAAAGAGAAGAGGACGGAGAGAAAGAGAGAAAAAAAATAAGATGAAGAAGAAGACCTGAAGATGCAGAAGAAGAAAGAGAAGAGGAGGTGAGAAAAGAGGAGAATATGAAAGAAGTGAAGAAGAAAGAGAAGAGACAGGGAGAAAGAGCGGGGGAAAAAAATGATGAAGTAGAGAAGATGATGTGACGTACTGACATGTGAGAAATATAAAGAAGAAAGAGAGGACGGTAAGAAAGAGGGAGGAAAAAAAAATATAAAGGAGAAAAGAGGAGAGAGAAGATGAAATGACATGTGAGGAAATATGTTTATATTTGATGATATCACCGGTCTGACTTGTCGATCAGACCGGTTGGACCATCCAAACCAGAAACCGGTCACTTGACCGAGTCATCTTCTGGTCTTAGTTTCAAAACATTGTTTAAAACTACAAATTTGAATAATATCTTGAGCTTATCCTTCTTTTTTCTTCTTCAGATGAAAATGGATATCCCATGAATGACCATTCTCTTCACGTAAAATGGTTTCCTTAATCACATCTTTACGTTTTAGGAACAATACTTTGTTTGGCTATATCAAGGTCGCTTTCCAATACCCTAATATATGCTCCCAATAAGGGCCATAGTTAGAGACTCCTTTACAAAAGAGCAAAAAACTCTCTTCTAAAGACATCGACTCTTCATGAAGTCCTAGTCGTACCTTGCTTTCACCCAAAGAGTTAACCAAAGTAAAATGATTTCCAATGTTTCAAAAAGTCATAGCTCTTTAACACCCGAGTAATAAAAAATTTACCCACCCCACCCGCGCTCCATCATTTAAAATTTGAAAATGGATTAGATTTGGGTGGATTTGCGAGATAGTGAGTTACCCATTTTTCTTTTTTTCTTTTAATATAATTTAATTAACATATACGTAATAATAACATTTTACCTATAAAATTATTTTATAAATAAATTTATGATTATTTGAATTAATGATTTAATAAAATAATAAAAATCAAAAGTCCACACCATCCATTGATTGTCATCAGCAACCATTGTCGGAGTCAGTCTAACAACACCATTTACATTAGGGGTGTTCAAAAGAACCGGTTGGAACCGGAATCGGCGAGTACCCGGGATTTGGTTTTGATTCCTATCCAGAACCGACTGTCAATGGGTAGGTTCCGGTTCCAAATTTTTGGAACCGTTACTGTGCGGTTTCGATTCCTATAGTTAGGAACCGGAACCAGGAACCGAGACTAATATAAAATAAAATTAAAGATTATGGGGGTTAATAAAAACTTTTGTAGAAAAAATAATGTGAATACATTTATATTTATATTTCATAACATTTAAAGTAAGTTGGTTTGACTTTTGAGAATCTACTTTTACAAAGTAATGGAGTTTGTAATTTTAAATTTTAAATTTTAAATTTTATTTTTGTTAACAAGTGCCAGGTGGGGGGGGTATTTGTAAGTTTTTAAGGGTTTTTTTGCTATTTTAAAAACTTTTGGGGGGTCATGAATTTTACAGGGTACCCAGAATCAGAATCGGAACCATTGTTACAGGTTCTGGTTTTAGGTACCTAGGAACCGGAACTGTCGATTCCAGTTTTGGTTCCAAATTTCAAGGAACCATCGGTTCCAGTTCCGGTTCTTTTAAAAAATGTAGGGTATCCGAAACCGAACACCCCTAATTTATATGAAAATGTTCAGAACATTAGATCTATTCAACCATCAAACTCTCATGGGAATTATAAAAAAAAAATCATCAACAAATGACTTCTATATTGGCCGTAAGAAGCAGTTAAAGTTTCGAAATTCAAAACTTTGATCACCATGTGCTACCAAAAACTATAATTTTGGGCCAAGATCAACACATGGTTAAATATATCGAAAGAATAAGAATACTTCTATGTAATTTTTTTGTTTTGGTGACCAACTAAAAGGGCATAGAATCCTTTTCTAAAGGCTTAAAGCCCACACAACAATGAAAAGAATTTGATAGACTAAAGGCCCAAGTTTATAATCAATATAAATAAGGAGGTGGAGATGTAAAAATACTTATAGGACATCTTACACCTCATCTAGATGGTGAGATCATATAATGAAATAGTGGTATGTATTGTCACATTTATGCTAAATTTTTTATTTTATCCACCTATTAGTATAACTGATCAATAACTATTTTAACCACCCGCCACCCTGATGGTTATGAAAACTAACTCTATATATCACCATTTTATTATACGGTCCCACCACGTCATCAAGATGAGGTGATAAGACTGTCTATGTAAGTTTTTCTCATGGAAATGAGGCGAAGGAGAGAGAGAGAGAGAGAGAGAGAAAAAAGAATATAGAAAAGGTAGAGAAGAACCACAAAGGAAAGAAAGAAAGGAGAGGAGGAAATCAAAGGAAATCAAAGGGAGAAGAGAAGACACGATACAAACTCGAACTTCTGACAAATAAATTGAAAATGTGAAGAGAGTACCCACATATGTAAATCAAACAAATCCTTACATAAACACAACATTTTTATTTTCCTTTATTACAAGAGTATTGTCTACGCTTATACATCATCAAATGATAAGTCAAATCTACCCAATTTCTGCTTTGTTATTTCATCCAAATGCTCAGCCATCTCACGCATAAGATAATTTTTCCAATCTCCAACTTTACCTTTCCGAAAGAATGATTTGTTCTCAACAGGAATATCTGGAGCATATTTTCCAGTCTTATTAATCTCCAAATTGCTCAAATTCTCAAAACTACAAAACTCAACTATACTCCTTATTTTCCCTTT